CGGCAGCACTGGGGCCTTCGGCGGAGCTCCCTATGGGGCCACGAAACGTGTGAGGGGTGTGCCGAATTGGGTGTGCGTGACGCATGCGGGCGGCAGCACTGGGGCCTTCGGCGGAGCTCCCTATGGGGCCACGAAACGTGTGAGGGGGTGCCGATTGGGTGTGCGGGACGCATGCGGGTGGCAGCACTGGGGCCTTCGGCGGAGCCCCCTATGGGGCCACGAATGGGTGCCGAATTGGGTGCATGCGGGCGGCAGCCCTGGGGTGCTTCCTATGTGTGAGGGGTGCCGAATTGGGTGTGCGTGACGCATGCGGGCGGCAGCACTGGGGCCTTCGGTGGAGCTCCCTATGGGGCCACGAAACGTGTGAGGGGTGTGCCGAATTGGGTGTGCGTGACGCATGCGGGCGGCAACACTGGGGCCTTCGGTGGAGCTCCCTATGTGGCCACGAAACGTGTGAGGGGTGTGCCGAATTGGGTGTGCGTGACGCATGCGGGCGGCAGCAAGGAGGAGGCAGCGGGAGGAAGGAAGGAAGGAAAACGCGGGGCACCGTCTCTTCAAAACGAGGACCCAACACCACAGGATGGTTGGGAAATAATCAAAAATTATTCGGGCGAAGGACCCAAACCATATGCAGTTGTGGGTGCCGCAAACGCTGCACTGGGCGGGGGGGGAACGCATGCGGGCGGTAGCACTGGGGCCGTTGGTGGAGCTCCCAATGGGGCCACGAAGCGCTGTACTGGGTGGGTGAAAATGTCAAAATGGGCTTCCGGGGCGCATGCGGACGGTCATGGGGCCACGAAACGCTGTGCTGGGTGGGTGAAAATGCCGCATCTGGCGTGCGGGACGCATGCGGGCGGTCCCACCGGGGGCTTCGGTGGGGCGCCTTATGGAGCCACGAAGCGCTGTGTTGGGCGGATGAATTTGCCAGATTTGGTTTCCCGGACGCATGCGGACGGCCCCGCTTGGGGCTTCGGGGAGCTCCCTGTGGGGCCACGAAGCGCTGTACTGGGTGGTTGAAGATGCCAAATTTGGTTTCTGGGACGCACGCGGGCGGTCCCACTGGGTGCTTCGGTGGAGCTCCCAATGGGGCCACGAAGCGTTGTACTGGGTGGGTGAAAATGCCAAATGGGGTGTGTGGGGCGCATGCGAACGGTCCCATGGGGGCTTCGGTGGAGCTCCCTATGGGGTCACGAAGCACTGTACTGAGTGTGCGGACGGTGGCAGTGGGGCCTTCGGTGGGGCTCCCTATGGGGCCTCGAACCGCTGCGCTGGGTGGGGGGGACGTGTGCGGACGGTAAACCTGGAACCTTCGGTGGACCTCCATCAGGGGCCACGAAGCGCTGTACTGGGTGGGGGGGGGGGGCGCAGGCGGACGGTAGCACTGGGGCCTTCAGCAGGGCTCCCTATGGGGGTCACGAAGCGCTGTGCTGGGTGGGGGCGGCGCACGCGGACGGTAGACCTGGAACCTTCGGTGGAGCTCCGCAAGACGCAAGACGCAAGACACGCGCGGAACGTCCAAAGGACGGCCGACTTGTGGGCAGCGCGGCAGGCTCTCAGGCCCCGATGAACAGGTTTAGCATGGTGTAGTCGTCAGAGTGCGTATTCTACAGCTGCGTCCTCCCGTCGCCTTCTGGGTCGCACAGCTCTCCGTGCCATGTGGTTTGGATGCCATAGGAATATCCTCTGCGCCCATGTGTTTGTGCCTTCTCGTAACTTATCAAGCCATCGAGCGACCGCCTGCTTGCTGCTTGTGTGAGTCAACCCACTCACAAAGAGATAGTTTGCCCAATCTCTATTCAGCTTCATGGGTCGTGCGCTTGATCCAGTCAGGCCACGGCTCTAAACCGTCCTCCACGATGTCTGGCACGTCCACATTGTCCACCGACGCATGAGAATATTCTTGTCCAGAAGTTGTCCGGCGCCTTTTGCTCATCAAAATCATCCTCAGCATTTTCCTCTGCGTTCTGCGTTGTTTGTCTTCCAGGTCCTGTGTAACCACCCCTGTTTCGCTCCCATGTAAAACAGATGAAGATACTGTGCGATCGAAAAAACGGAGTCTCGAAGTGAACGAAAACCTGCGATCACTCAGAATCGAACGTTGCGACATAAATCTTTTCTAAGCTGCGCCGATCCTGTTGTCAAGCTCTGTCTCGTGCGGGCGGTCGAAACATCTTTCCGGCCCAAATACTTTACGTGACAATCATGAGATACGACGTCAATGCACATCTCACCAATCGGTATGCTCTGTTCCTTGGGGCGCCCCGTGTCCCGGGTAGTGTTCGAAAGAATATTTGTTTTATCTGGTGGAGCTCCTCAAGGGGCCACGAAGCGCTGTACTGGGTGGGGGGGACGCATGCGGACGGTAGCACTGGGGTCTTCGGTGGGGCTCCCTATGTGGCCACGAAACGTGTGAGTGGTGTTGTGAAGCGGGTGAGGATGATGATGCTGATGATGCTGATGCTGATGATGATGATGATGATGATGATGATGATGATGATGATGATCATGGTGATGGAGGAGGGAGGAGGGGGAGGAGGAGAAGGAGAAAGATGAGGAGGAGAACGCGGGGACCGTTATTTCAAACGAGGACCCAACACCACAGGATGGCTGGGAAATAAAGACGATTCGTTGTAAAGAACTATCCTGGCGAAGGACCCAACCATATGCAGTTGTGAGTATCGCGTTGTGCGTGCCGCTTTCGGTGGACCTTCCTATAGGGCCACGAAACGCGTGAAGGGCGTGCCGCAACCGGGTAGGGGAGACGCATGTGGACGGTGCCACTGGGACCTTCGGTGGGGCTCCCTATGGGCCACGAGACGCGGTACTGGGCGTGGCGGACGCATGCGGGCGGTGCCCTTCGCTGGAGCTCCCGATGGGGTCACGAAACACTCTACTGGTTGGGGGAGACGCACGCGGGCGGCGCCACTGGGGTCGTTCTGTGGAGCTCCCCACGGGGCCACGAAACGCTGCACTGGGTAGTGGCCGACGCTTGCGGGCGGTGCCAGTCGGGGCTTCGGTAGAGCTCACGATGGGCCCGCGAAGCGCTGCACTGGGTGGGGGGTCGCATACCGGCGGACCACTGCCGCTCCCTACGGGGCCCCGACACGCTGTACCGGGTGGGGGGGACGCATGCGGGCGGTGCCCCTGGGGCGCATTCGGGCGGTCCCACCGGGACCATCGGTGGAGTTCCCTCTGGGGCCAAGAAACGCTGTATTTATTGGGTGGGGGCTGACGCATGCGGGCGGCCCCACTGGGACCTTCGGTGGAACTCCCTATGGGACCAAGAAGCGTTGTACTGGGTGGTGGTTGATGCATGCGGGCGGTGCCACTGGGGCCTTCGGTGGAGCCCCCCATGGGGCCACGAAGCGCTGTGCTGGGTGGTGGCTGACGCATGCGGGCGGTGCCACTGGGACCATCGGTGGAGTTCCCGATGGGGCCACGAAGCGCTGCAATGGGTGGGTGAATCGCAGGCAAGGAAGGGCTGTGCTGGGTGGTGGTTGACGCATGCGGGCGGTCCCACTGGGACCTTCGGTGGAGCTCCCTATGGGGCCACGAAGCGCTGTATACTGGGTGGGTGAAGCGCAGGGAGGCAGGGCTGTGCTGGGTGGTGGTTGACGCATGCGGGCGGTCCCACTAGAACCTTCGGTGGAGCTCCCTATGGGGCCACGAAGCGCTGTACTGGGTGGGTGGCGCGCAGGGAGGCCGGGCTGCGCTGGGTGGTGGTTGACGCATGCGGGCGGTCCCACTGGAGCCTTCGGTGGAGCTCCCTGTGGGGCGAAGAACGGATCGGGGCTGGAAGAGCGCCCTCGCGTCGGGAGTTCCCGGGCCGCGGATCTCAAGAGCAGGTCGGCGGACTCACTCAAGGACTCGGCCACCCCACGACGTGTTTGATCTGCAGCGTGCGGCCCCAGGGGGGCCCCGCCCGCCTCCCGGGGGGTAGCTCTTCGCCCCGGATCGTGTCTGATGTGGCCAGGGGGCCCCGTCGATGGGCCCCCAGGGGGCCGAGATCGGGGAAGATCGCCAGGATCGAGGAGGAGGAGGAGGAGGAGGAGGAGGAGGAGGAGGAGGAGGAGGAGGAGGAGGAGAGGAGGAGGAGGATGAAGGAGGAGGAGGAGGAGGAGGCGGAGGAGGGAGGAGGAGGAGGAGAGGAGGAGGAGGGGAGGGAGGGGGAGGAGGGAGGAGGGGGGGGGGAGGAGAGGGAGGGGGGAGGGAGGGAGGAGGGAGGGAGGGAGGAGGGAGGGGAGGGAGAGGGAGGGAGGGAGGGAGGGAGGGAGGGAGGGAGGGGAGAGGAGGGAGGGAGGGAGGGAGGGAGGGAGGGAGGGAGGGGAGGCGGAGGAGGAGGAGGAGGAGGAGAGGAGGAGGAGGAGGAGGAGGAGGAGGAGGAGGAGGAGGAGGAGGAGGAGGAGGAGGAGGAGGAGGAGGAGGAAGAGGAGGAGGAATCGGACCTCCAGCTGCCGTTCACCTGCCGTTCGCGACGACGCTGGCCTCCACGCGACGTGCCCGGCGAGGCACAGCTGCTGGGAAGCACCCCGCCCCGAGGCGAGAAGACTCTTGGGCAGCAGCAACAATCTGCGAACATTCGCATGTGAACGCTTCCTCTCGTCTGGATCGACCGGCCGATCCCTTAACGTCCGCCGGCGTGATTTTTGCCCGCGGCCCCAGAACAAGTCCCGACACCTTCCCCTGGGGTATAGTTTTCCGTCGAAGACTCGTTTCTGATGGACCTGGGGCCCCCCAATGGCCTCCGAAGGCCAAGATCGAGCAAAAAACGTGATCATTACATAAACCAGATCGCCGGACCCAAAGATCCGATGTCTAGAATCATTCCACACGTAGATCCCGAAGTCCCGACCCCTTCCCCAAAGCTGGCTTCTCGTCCGAAACCGTTTTTGGACGGCCCAGGGGGCCGGCGAGGGCCACTGGAGGCAGAACCTGCAAAAACTTGCCCCTTGGTTCTTTCAAGGCATTGGATCTCTGGGTTGGGACGCTGGGCGGCTGGCAGACACGCCCCTGGCGGAGGAGTCCTTCGAGGACGCACCCCGGGCGGAGGAGTCCTCTCGGCGTGTGGGAGGGGGGGGCGCTGTCGTCTCCGAACCGATGGCGTAAACGTAAGCAGGTGGGGGGCTTGGGGGCACTCCTCCTCTTCCTCCTCCTCCTCCTCCTCTTCCTCCTCCTCCCTTCTCCTCCTCCTCCGCCTCCTCCTTTTCCTCCTCCTCCTCTGTCCTGCTCCTGCTCCTGCTCCTGCTTCTGCTCCTGCTCCTCTCCCTCCTGCCTTTCCTCCCTCAACTCCTCCTCTTCTTCCTTCTTTTCCTTTCCCTCCTCCTCCTTCCTCCTCCCTCCTCCCCCCTCCCTCCTCCCTCTCCCCTCCTCCCTCCTCTCTCCTCCCCCTCCCCCTCCCCCTCCTCCTCCTCCTCCTCCTCCTCCTCCGCCTCCTCCTCCTCCTCCTCCTCCTCCTCCTCCTCGGCCAGGTGTTATAGGCGTATCCCCAAACAACTGCGTCACTATGACGAGGCAGCTCATAACTCTCTCATTTTGATGCAGGTGCGTCGCCCCGCCTCGCAGCATTCTCTCAGTGCGGCACGTCTTCGACTTTTTGGGCGCCCGCTGAAATAGGGCCCGCCGCACGTCACATATCTGTTAGCCTACCTCCACACAGGTTTGCCTCGCTCCTGGGCAGGCCAAATCGAGCCAGACATAAGGTGGTTGCGCACATTCAGCCCTCAGCTGGCTCTGATGCCCTTCTCAGGCAGTGATCTGCCCGCTTCGGACCGCACAAAAGCTTCAGCGTTGAAGGCATGGAAGCGGCTCATCACAATCGCAATGTGCGCCACAGTTCAGCACCACGCGAGATCAGCGCTTCCTGCGGATGTAGAGGGGGCCTTCTTTGCCGCCGCATGGCTAGCAAGGATGCCGCTGCCTACTGACCACCGCAAGCACCGGTGACGAATCGACCCGTTGGCTTCGGTGGCGGTCACTGATCTATGCCCGTGGTGCACGCAGACGCACAAGAGCCATCAAGATTTCAATCACCACCTGGCCCGTCCGCACTTCACGTTGGAGCGGCGCAGAAGAGGTCGCCTGACAGTCTCCCATCCGCGGCCAGGCTGCCAGCTGACGCTCGGCCCTGGGGCTGCAGCAGCAGGCACCGTTCTATCGACGCCTGTCTCTGCGCCGTGCATCATTCGGGCGTTGGTAGAACCGGGTTTAGTGGAACCTGGTTATAGTGATCTGTACCGGGGGCGCCCCCCCCGTCCCATTTCCACTAACCGGAACTGCCGTCACCCGAAAAAACACAAGCTGTGGCAAACATGGTTCAGTGATTCTGGCCAACTCAGAGGCTCCGGGGCCCTACCACTGACCAGGTCCCCTTACCCGGGGTCCTGGCCATACCCGAATCATATTCCCAGCCAGCCCATGAGGTGAGGATCTGCGAGCTGACCGCTTGCGCTCGCAGCACCTGCGGGCGACGTCTTGGGTGCGCTCTCTGCCCGGGCCGCTGCCGCACTGCAGCGCCGGCACGCCGAGGTGCACCCGGGCCTGGCCCCCTGCCCCACACAGCGCGCAGGGGCTCGGCCGCAGTGATGCCGAGCATCTTCGCGCCGCCTCGGGCTAGCGAGCGTGTTTCTTTAGTCACTGCTTTGCCGATGGGCGCGGGCCCTCGCACATCCCCCCTCCCCCCCTCCGCCCCCCCCCCCCTGGAGCAGATCCTGGCTGTTCTTTGGCGCCTGCTTCCAGCAGGCGGGGTCCCTCCACCAGAGGACGCACTGCTGCAGACGGTCGCAGGAAGCAGGGGTCCAGAGCCAGACCCCCCCCCCTCCCCCTCCCTTCCGCCTCCTCCAGCTTCTCCTCCAGCTTCTCCTCCTCCGCCTCCTGCTCCTGCTCCTGCTCCTGCTCCTGCTCCTGCTCCTCCTCGTCCTCCTCAACGCCGAGGAAAAAAAAAGCTCACTAATGTCGAAACGCCGAACACGAAAACGCCCACCTTGGGCCCTGCGGCGGAAGCCCGTGGGCTCGACCCTGCCCTGACCACGCGGCACCTGCCCCTCGCAGGTGGCCTGCCCTGCCCGCATGCCCGCCCGCGGGGGCCCGAGTGCACCAGGACCACGACTGTTTCGATAGAAGCGAACCCTGCCATCGCTCGGACGTCCATTCTCCGCGCATTTCTCGGTCTCGTGCGTGCTTTCGCAAAATGGCCTAGTATGCTCCTCGATGGCCCTCGCCGAGAAAAAAATGCACACGTCCGAGCGATGCCAGGGAACACTCGAGCTCGGGAGGTACTCCTTCTTGCTCGTCCCTGCGGAAGGCGCCGCCCGGGCCACAGTCGCGATCGCTTCGAGGACCTCGGGCCTCCCCCGGGCCATCTCTGTGGCCCCACCCTGTCGGCAGGCACGGCCAGATCGTGCTGACCAGGGCGACCTCGCCCAGGGAGCCTGCCGCACCTGTCTGGCGGGGCCGAACTTTGCGCGGGCCGCCTCGTGGCCTCCCGGGGAGGCCGGGCCCCGCGACGTGCGGCCCGCGGCCGCCCGCCGGCACCAGCAGGGGGCCGCCTCCAGCGCGCACGGTCCAAGGCTTCCTGGGGGCTCCCCGGCGCGGTCCCCCCCTCTCGGTGGTTCCCCAGCGCGGGGCCTCCTGGGGATTCCCCAGCGCAGTCCTCCCCGGGTGATTCCCCAACGCGGGGCTTCCTGGGGACTCCCCAGCGCGGTCCCCCCCTGGTGGTTCCCCAACGCGGGGCCTCCTGGGGATTCCCCAAGCGGTCCTGGCAGCTCTGGGCTGACAAGCCCCTTGCAGTGCTCTCGCCTGCTGCTCTCTGCCGCTCGCGGGTGCGGCTGCTGGGCTGGAGGTCCCCCCCCGAAGGATGTGCGTACATGGGAGCCGAGAGCGGTTGCCTGCTTGGCTGGAGTACCCCCCGAAGGATATATGTAGCACCCCGCAATTGCGGATAAGAGTGAGGGGCCGGCGAGGATGTCGTCAGTCTGCGAGGCTCTGAAGAAGCCCGCCGCAGGCGCCTAACTTTTACAAATTATACAATGAGCCCGCCGCAGGCGCCGATTTTTTTTTCGCTTAAGCAATGTGGGTGGATCGCGGGGTGGGTCGCGGGTGGGTCGCGGGCCGAGTCGCGGATGGGTCGCGGTGGGTCGGGTTATGGGTCGCGGGTGGGTCGCGGGTGGGTCGCGGGGTGGGTCGCGGGGTGGGTCGCGGGTGGGTCGCGGGGTGGGTCGCGGGGTGGGTCGCGGGGTGGGTCGCGGGGTGGGTCGCGGGTGCCTCGTGGGCGGGTCGCGGGGTGGGTCGCGGGGTGGGTCGCGGGTGGGTCGCGGGGTGGGTCGCGGGGTGGGTCGCAGGGTGGGTCGTGGGGTGGGTCGCGGGGTGGGTCGCGGGTGGGTCGCGGGCGGGTCGAGGGGGGGACGACGACAACAACAACAGCAACAACAACAGCAACAACAACATCAATAACATACACCAACAACAGCAACAACACCACCACCACCAACAGCATCAACACCAACACCACCACCACCAACACCAACAACACCAACAACGCCACCACCACCAACAGCAACAGCAACACCGACAACAACAGCAACAACAACACCATTAACAACAACACCAACACCAACAACAATCATTTTATGACCGTTCGCCCGTATCTGCTCGAGTGTCCAATAGTGCGTATTTACCAAACCCTCGATACCCGCCCTCTTCGTCTTCGATCGAACCCCTTTGGGGGGGTATACATTTTTTTCCTTGCAGGCAGGGTCCCGACAAGCGGCGGGGCGGCCGCGGACCGTCGGCCTGGCCAGCGGCAGCGCTTATCGGCGGGGCGGCCGCGGACCGTCGACCCGACCCCAAGAGGGACGGACAGGGGACCGACCACGTCGACGACGACGTCGACGACGGCGACGACAACGAGCGAAAGCGAGAGCGAGAAAGAACGACAGCAGGGCCACGAAGCACACGAAGTAGTCCACGAAGGGCGACAGCGGGGACACGAAGGGAATGCGAATGGGACCACGAGGAGCGCGAACGAGCAGGGGCCACGAAGGGCAGACAATGCGGGGCCATAGAAGGCAACGATGCGGCCACTGAGGGTAGGACAGTGAGGGGCCACAAACGGCGACAGCGGGGCCACGAAGGGCATGCACGTGGGGCCACAACGGGCGCGAACGAGCGGGGGCCACGAAGGGTAGACGTATGTTGGGCCGCGGAGGGCAAGGACGGGACCAGTGAGGGCAGCAACGGGGCCACGAAGGGCAGCGAGGGGGCCACGAAGGGCGACAGCGGGGCCACGAAGGGCATGAATATGGGGCCACCACCGGCGCGAACGAGCGGGGGCCACGAAGGGCATACATATATGGGGCCACGAAGGTCAGCGAGGGGGCCACGAAGGGCTGCAACGGGGCCACGAAGGGGAGCGAGGGGGCCACGAAGGGCTGCAACGGGGCCACGAAGGGCTGCAACGGGGCCACGAAGGGCAGCGAAGGGGCCACGAAGGGCTGCAACGGGGTCACGGAATAAAGCGAGGGCCACGAAGGGCTGCAACGGGGCCACGAAGGGCAGCGAGGAGGCCACGAGGGGCTGCAACGGGGCCACGAAACAAAGCGAGGGGGCCACGAAGGCTGCAACGGGGCCACGAAACAAAGCGAGGGGGCCACGAAGGGCTGCAACGGGGCCACGAAGGGCAGCGAGATCCCGATTCCTAGGTAATCTGTGAGGGAGTCCTAAGCGTGAGCGCGACTCCTGGGTGCCTGGGTGTCGGGAGTGCGGCGCTTGGGTAAATTGCAGGAAATTCCAACGCAAGGGCGCTATTCGTCAGTAAATTGCAAGCAAATCTCCAGCTAGAGCGCGACTCCAGAGCGCCGGGAGAGCGATTCGTGAATAAATTGTCCCAAGCGAGAACGCGATTCCTGAATATGCGAGGAGGTCTCGGGCGGGAGCGGGGGTCCTGGCTAAATTGTGAGGAAGTCTCAGGCGGGAGCCGTTGTTGTTGTAACCCGGGGGCCAGGGGCACACTTTGAGCATCAAGACTTCCCCTGTCAAAAAACAGGGTGCGAGCGTCGAG